ACGACATGCTTAGAGTGCTTGAACATCCCAAGAAATGAACTGCCAAATGAACTACCTGCTTGGGTAGACACATTCATTTAAGAATAAAACTGCCTTTGGAATGTTCCCTTGTTTTCTGTAGTTTACTGAAAGCAAATTTTCAGTCTGTCAGTCCATTTCAATTTGAGATCAGTGACAGTTACATTCCCTGTTTAGCTGTCTGCAGTTCAGTGTCATTCACACAAGCCAGTATGAAAAGACAAGCACTCTTAAACAAATGAAAACCAATGCTTTATTTACAGGAAAAAATCTGTACACTGTGCGTACATAAAAATATACAAAATCATAATAGAAAATATAAAAAGTGTTAAAATGTATACAAACACTTCTTAAAAATGTGACTCCTGTAAAATCTTAAGCTTTGTTATTAGAGTACACATTCATTTAAAAAAATCATCATACAAAATAATTCTCAAAGCTATTAAAAAAGTACACAGTCTATATTTGAATAGTTCAATGACTACATAGTCTAGGAGTGATGCGATGATATGGGTAAACGTAAGGCTTTTACACACAACTCTTATTTAAAGAACAAAACTCTGAATCTGATCACTAAGCCAGAGAGAAGAAATTTGCAGTATCAAAGCTCATTTAACGATGCAGGCATGCCCAGACACGGGCTACTTTAAATTTCAAACAGTTAAATCAGGTATCCTCCTTCTGTGTGAGAGAGAGGATAGCTTCCAGGAAAGAGCCCGGTGCTCCTACTACAGGTTTCCGAATCACCTACTTCAAAAAGCAATTTCATTTATTTAATATGTGTGTCAACTTTAAAAAGCATGTCAGGAAAAAGAGGACCCATTTATTTTTGCAGTCTATGTGTTTGATATTCCTTTCATGGTACACCTGCGTCACCTTTCAAGTGGCATTCTCCATCCTTAAGAACTGCTGAGGAGGAAGGGAATGAAAAAATCACTGTGAATTGGACTTTTATTTGGAACTACTTGGTTCAATCCAACTTTAAAATGAGTATGCTCAGTCTGCAAAACCATTTCGTGTATGTAGATACTACTCTTCATTTTAGTAAAACGCTCTCTTGGTTTTGTTGACTTTGCCAAGAGGTCAATAGGAACAAGCTCCAGAATTTGTTTATCTGTACAGAGAGATTGCAGATCACAGTGTGTAAACAAGCTCCTTCTCTTTCAAGGTACAATTTCTTTCATCATTGTAATTTCCCTAACTTAACCAGAGTTTCACTAGCATAAAACTGCACAGTGAGGTAAAAGAAAAAAAAGTAGTATTCAGTAGTTTAATTAAGAATTAAACTGAGCTGAACTGTGAGTCTACGCCCAGGTAATCTTTAGAACTATAAAGGAATGGAACAATTAGTAATTTACCTATAGCAGAAAGATTTTGGCTCAAAATGAGGCAAAACCTGTCCTAATTTTTCTTTCATAAACAGAAGAATACCTTGACTTAACCATTCAAAGGTTGAATGCATAAAATGATAGAGCACCACATGTCAGAAAGGCTAAAGAATTCACAGTGGAGCTTAATGAAATTCAAAATAAACTCAGCATGTTTACTTAAGATGCTGCTGTGTTTCTGCTTAGTTTCAACTGAGTGCAACTTTTGTCCACAGAACAAGGGCACAGAAAAGGGGCTCTCTGGCTTTTGAAGGCAATTTATTCCTATTTGTCAGTAAAACTCCACAAATTTGAAACCTGAATCACTGTATCAAGTCTGAAGGGAGCTCAGGCACGAACTAACAGTGTTTGCTTTGCTGATGGCATGTGTCAAGAGCTGAGTCAGTACAGACCTCCCTTGCCTTGGTACCATTTCTCTCTGCTAGCATGCAATAGCTGCACATGGAATAGGAGAGCTATGAAGCCATGCCTACATCTACTTCCAAAAACCCTGTGATCTGGGTGGGAAGATGCATTTTCTTTCACATTGTCTACATTTAGTAAGTATCTATAAACAGCACTCTCACACATCACTGTTTTTAAAAGACACACAGATTCAGTGTTACTACACACTCATTGCTTCAAGTTGACTGGATCTTTGCCCTTGTGAAGGACGGTGAAATGCCCATAAATGCAAGAAATACTTGGTGGGCTCCTATGAAAGCCACCAACGCCAAAACCACAGAGAGTGTAAGCACTGGTGATAGCAGTACCTCTACAGGTCCTTCATGTTCCCTCTTCATTTCTACCCCTTCCCCTTTTGAACGAAGTGGAGGAGAGCCCTCAGTTAGCAAATCAGATGTATTTGCACTTGCATCAAAAAACAAAGGACAAGAAAGACAGTAGGGGAACAAAATCTCTTTAAGCAGTCATCAGCTGTTTGACCAGACAGACCAATGTAAAATCACAGTGGAAACCAGTGCTACAAAGCCACTCTAGGGATCCTTGAGTTTTCAAGAAGATGGGGATCATAAATTGGTCTTCTACCCTTTGCAAGCAAGTAAGTGCCAGCAGCACAGTTCTGTGGCATCTTCTGAGGTGATGGTGCCATGGCATCCACACTGAACTTGTGGTGGAGCAGTGACTGCTATATAAATCAGAATACATCAAATTCTCCTGGAAACAGTTGCACAAATATCTCAAAAGGTTGAAGAGCATCAGCATACCAGCAAAGAAAAAAAATCCGCTGAAAGGCCTTAAATGTGCAAAGTCCAGTACAGTGAAAATATATAGTTTGTTTTCTGGTTTCTCAGACCTGGTTCTACATCATGACTTAAATGATGCACTAAGTAGGTACGATAGCACTTGCTGCATGGAACTCTGCAAAAACCACCTTGTTCTGTGCAACAGCTATGTGGACAACTTACTGAAGAAGTAATACAACATAATCTTGCTATGTATAGCTGAGTAATACAGTTAGAATTTTTTTTAATAGAAATCAGAGTTTGAGGTTAGTGGTTGCAGACCAAAGTGATATGCTTTTTTTCAGAACTTGAGAATTTCCTGCTTACAGAAAGTAGCAGTTACTAGTTCTAGAAAGGTAACCATCTCCCTTCTGTTACACACATGTGGCAGCTAACCCAACATGCTAGAAAGGCAGATATATTCGGTAGTACTTGCTCAGACTTCAAATGTTTTGCAGGCACCTTACCAAACATACTAAAAAATAGAATAGTAGGTTATTTATCCTCCACAAGATTAAATAACAATGTTATTAAGAATAAAAGTTGCTGACATACATCAGTAGCTAATATATCCAGAGTCTGAAGCTAATATAAATAAAATCTGTTCCTTTTTATATGTACCAAAATGATTAATGGACACAGTTACACACAGAATGTAGAAGTACAGTTTTTAGACCATCTGGACATATTTCCTGTCAGCGAGAGGAATCTTACAGGATCATAAGGCCCAAATTAAGAAGCTGCACGGGAAAAGAAAGCTAAGCCCTATGCAAGAGATATTCTTCCCTTTTGAGGAGAAAAAATCATCAGACCCTAAGAGCAGAGGGAAAAAAAAAAAGACTCTGTGATGATGCTTACATTGCTATCAAAGTGGAAATAGTCATTCATACCATTTGCACACTTACTGTCTCACTGTTGCGTAAGACAAAACACAAAAGATACTTTCCAACACAAACTCTCAGTTGCTCTTTTCAGTGCCTTTTTGAACTGTCTGCCTTTTCACTGAATGGACATGAAGAGGATACAGCTGTGTTCTACTAAATTTGACCTATGGGAAAAGGTACAGTCATGTGAAAAAAAAAAAAAAACCACCACCATCAATAGAAAGAAAAACAGCACACAAAAATCCTCCTGCCACTCCGGAGGCAATCTGAAACTGAAGTCTTCATATTTTAGATGTCTTAGCATTCACGTTGATTTTCAGAATTACCTTTACAGAATGTTCTCATTGTGTGTCATGAAGGAAAATATTAAATGATCTCCACATGCTGTCCACAGTCAGTTTGTTTTTGCAGGCATTACAGCTTCTCTGGGGTACAGCTTTTCAAACATGCAGTAAAAAAATGCTGATATCCTCCTCTTTTGTCAAACAACTCCCATACTTTCTTAAGAGCAGTAAGTTGTGAGCAAATGAATTTGATTTTGATCACAGTGAAATACCTCACAAATGATGTCTGTAATCCTCAGTGCTATCTTTGCTGCAGAAAGGTGAGCTCCCTCTACATTTGCTTGCAGTGCAACTTGTGTTTGCTACACAGTCTCCCTTGGCTTTCTCTGGATAGTTTTTATCTGTGCGTAGTGTGGGAAGGCATCATTTCCCTCTCACTTACACCCTCTTTGTAGGCCTCTCAGGGAAAATATTTTTCTGAACAGGTTATCAATATGTTTGTTGCTTTCTACAGAAATGAGAAACTTCTCTTTTCCCTGTACCCCGCTCAGTGTGAGCAATGGGATGTGACACCAAGGGTGCATCCAGTGATTTAACTGATTTAGCTGCGTGTTTTGCCATCTACATCTGCACTGATTTCATAGCCACCATAAGGCCTCCTGTACAGTTAGAAGCCCGCGAGTGAACCAGTGTATGAATAGGAATTAAAAGACTCCTCTAATCAATGAATATTCAGCTCAGAGTAGCAATTACTTCATTCTTGGAGAGTGTGAAAATCCCATGGAGCCATGAGAAATGCTGCATTGTTCAAATGGCAGCTCTGTACACGAGCGATACAGGCTGCTACACAATGCCAGATTTAACAGTTAAATAAGTTCATTTAAAAAAAGTTACAATCTAGCATATGTGGCATAAGAGACCACTGACGAATTCCAACGGTCACACCCACAACAATACATTATATTTCGGCCTAAGTATGTCCTCTGCACCTTTTGTAAGCTAAGCTTTTTGTTTTCTTTAACTATTTGCAAAGCAGTAATAAATACTCAGGCTCAGAAAAGAAGTATTTCTCATGCCTGCTACTTAATTACAATTTAAAGACTCAAGACTGGATTGGTCTAAGATACATTTTTCAAGTATTCTCTCCTTGTTTATAGTACGACAGTAGTACCTTATTGCACATTGTTTGTGAAGGACTCTCTTCTACAAGGGTGGGAAATCATTTCGTTCCGGGCATTTGACAGACTTGAACCCTGGCAAAATGACCTTCCCCTTTCGGTATAGATCGTCCTGCAAACCTTTGTTCATCCTCTGCACCAACAGCTTCTCATAGAGCAGCGGGTGATAAGCCCCTAAGGTACAAGCTGCATCGTAGTAGAGTTCATGGTAGTGACATAGGTCGGTCTGTCGGACTGAAGGGATGTATTCGTACACGTGCACTTCGCTGCACATGGACATCATGATGAGGATACCTGGAGCAAAAAGTGAAAACAAGAGTGAACTTATACAGACTGATCCCTATAGAGTTGACAAGGCAGTACATGAAACATAAGGACGAAGTAAAAGGCCTGTAAGTGCTTGCACAGCATCAGCCTCCTTGAGGGAGAAGACTGCTCTCTCTCCCTCCTCCCTGTTTTCCCCACCCTGTCCACAAAATATCCCACACAAGAATCAAGGATCTAAAGCAGCTGTGCACTAAGCCAACTGATGACGTTTCATAGTTTTATTGTATATCATGAATTCTTGAAATTGTTTACCAAGACAGACTAGGTATACGCATTCACTTGGACAATTCAGATTATGCATACATGCAGAGCAGTTGCCTGATGTTTTTAAGGAGCTTTTCTTTATATTTCTACCAAACACACAGCTAAATTCTGGCTTGTTATGCACAAGAGATCTAAAAAATTTCCAGTTATTCCCTTTCCAGCCAATGCTGTGCTTTAAGATATATTTGTCTTGCAAACGTTTACATACATTTTTATCTTCAAGGCTCTGTAGAATCTAGGAGAATACTATTTGCCCTTTCCTTTTTTTGTATATAACGGCAATGAGAAACAAAAACTGAAAAATGATCCAGTATCACCCATGTTTCCTCACTTCGCAAGTTTTGAATGGTTGCTTCCAATCATTGGCAATATTGGGGTACCAGTGTAATCACTGAAACATCTACACCTTATTATAACGTTGGTCTTTTTTGGCCTGGAATTGAAGCAACTCCCTTTTTTCTATTCACCTGCTTCTCTATAGACAGGAAGACATTGCAAGGAAAGCAGCCTAAGTACATGCAGAAGAAGCATCAACCAGTATTGGTGGGTGAAAGTCCAGAGCTTTCTCAGAATTTTCTGGTGGATTTCACGCAGAAAGACTCAGAAAGGTGTAGTCCCTCTTAGAGCAGTGTCTTCAAGAGGAAAAACCTCATTCCACCTTCTGTTCAGCAAGGAGGAACCTACAAAATGCTAACTCACTCTTTCTTGCCATGTCTGAATAGCAGACAATCATCTGCATTGTCAATAGCTGCATAGAAAGACCATAAGGAAATGTTTAAAGCCCCTAAAGCTTTAAATCCAGCCAAAGGTTAGCTTTAACCTTATGTGCACTCCTTAGATGCTGTTGTTACTCTCCTTAATCCTGTGTTTGGGATGAAAAATAAGACCAATAGAGGATCTGGAGGAAAACAGGTGCTTAGGCAGACGTTGCTTCCCCATGGCACAACTGTAAACCTGTACTACTAGAAGGTTTTTATAGCTCTGAGAGAAACTTATATGTGGCATTTGCACATTTTTGAAGGGACTAATATGATATATTGATCAATAGCACTGCCTAAACTGCAATACTTTCACATCAACTTCACATCCGTTTACGAGAACCTCTTCCACCTCTTCCATTTTATACAACATATAAAAGGAAAATGATTGATTAAGCCTTGTTGATACTTTTTTTTTTTTTTTTTTTTTAAGATGCAACTTTAAAAATCAAAACATATAGAAAATTTATTGAAACACTTCTTGCACTGCTGGTAACCGCATCTGTTGAACATGACCGTCAGCTCTCAGAGGAGACAGCTGGACTAATTCTGCTCATTTTGCAAATACAAATGAGAACTGAAGTCACTGGGGTTTTTTTTTCATTACAACAGTTTTGGAATCAAAAAGCATCAAAGGTGTCTTGGATGATTGTCAAAAGTGAAATGAATTAACATAAAAAATTATTTTGCTTCTTTAATTAAGCAAAGCTGTTTTCTGAAGCTCAGTTTGCAGTTTGGGAACATTTCAATGGCTTGTTAATGAAAAGAACCTTATGTTCTTCCTGCTGTGTATCATTAGATTATCAAAATGATATTTTTCCTCGCCTGATGCGTGAAGTAACTGAAAACCAATTACTTCTGTGATTAAATCTTCTTTTATCGCAAATAAAAGGTTCTGAAAACATCTCACATTCTTCTACAGCTTTAAAATCTACAGAGCCAATGGCCTTAGAAAGGCAAAGCATATCAATTTCAAAGGACAAGTCCACAAATTTAAGTGAACTTTAATCTTAAGCAGCAAGATACACAAATTCAAGGTGAAAAAATGTCTACTTTCAATGTGGGTAAAAAGCACAAGCCACACTGCCTTGCCTCCAAACTCTTACAGAGATGCTCTATATATTTAGCCTGCCTAGCAAATATATCTAGAATTGTTTGTTTGTTGTTTCAGTTTTACAAATGCTTTCGCCTGCTTTTCCACTGTGAACCTCCTTCCTCAACTGATGGAGAGCCCACCTGCCACTCCAAGGTAACCGTTATCCAGCTGAATCAGAGAACAGACGGTGGAAAGGTGTGCAATAATGAACCATGTCCAGAAACAGACCATAAAGTCACTTCTCTCCTGCACCCAGAGTCAAGCCTGGAGCCAGCTGCAAAAGCTGTACCACCACTGTAAGAGGAAAATTGATTCTGATGGAAAATACAAGCCTTAAACCGAAAATGTCTGATTTCACTGTCACGTTACCCAGCTAACCTTAAAATTAGTAGAGGAAATTGCCATTTGTGGGATAAGAAAGCTGTCAAGAACAAAAACTGGGACTCTGTTATCATTTCCTTAGTAACAGCAAAGATGGTATGGTTCATAATGACAAAATTCCAAGCAGTACCATTGACTTTCCTGTAAATTAGTTAATGGAGCACTCAGAAATGGTAACATTTTAGTTCTCAGTGACCTGTGGATCTGTGTCCTCCAGAATCAATCTAAAAGATACGTACTATCTAATTTAGCTCCTTGCTTTTTCTATGTCATTCTACACAGTCCATTATTTGTGGTTTCAGATTAGGTAAATCAGATAACTAATTTCTGGCAGTCAATTCAATTTTTTTGCTTGTATTGGCAGTCAATTAAAATTTTTTGCTTGTATTGGACAAGGATGTTTTTAAGGATTAAAGGGTGACTCAGAGCTAGTTTCTGAGTGGTAACAGTTAATTTACAGCAACATCTTTGCATTTAAATCTAAGGTAAACGAACTGGAAGATGAGTTTGACAATGCCCCATCCCTGCAGGTGCTCAAGGCCAGGTTGGATGGGGCCCTGGGCAGCCTGAGCTGGTGGGGGGCAGCCCTGCCCAAGGCAGGAGTTTGGGCTGCTGGGCTCTGAGGTCCCTTCCAACCCAAACTGTTCAGTGATTCTATGAATCTGTGAATGACTAGAGACTACCATACACTGAGGTGCCTTTGGGCCACAGAGGTTTATCTTTCCTGGTGGAAATGTGAGTAATCCTGAGACTTACAGACCTGATGCACCTGTCAAATGCACAAATCCAGCAAAAAAAAAAAAACCAAACAATGGTCAGTGCCAGACTTTTTTTTCTTTAGCATCTTTACACCACAGTCAAAGAGACCAATAGTGTGGTACAGCCGGCACTTTCATCCCAACAGCTGATGAGTGAGAACCCAAGACACTCAGGATAACACATTTGATCTACAGGACACACAAAAAGCACCCCCCAAAATGCTCTTTCTTGGAGGGAAAAAAAAAACAAAAACATTTGTGAGCTGCTTTCTTTGTATGAATTGAATCCTAATTAAAATAGAAAACAAATGGGTTCAGTACTGTCCCACACCTTCTAAAATATGAACTTCCTCCACATGAGAATACCTCTAGATCTTATTGCCATCTAAGTTTACAAAAAACATCTTTAATACAATAGCAGCACTTTAAACCATGAGGACATTCACACTAGTACAAGGATGGATTCAGTTTTTCTCTGCTCTCTAAACTTGCTCATGTTATTCTGCTTTCCTTTGAATGTCCAATCTCATTTCCATTTGTAATCTCAATTATCTTTACACATCTTTTTGTGTTATTGCTTCCCTGGTTTCTCCTCTGCAGCTGAAATTTTCTCCCCCACACACTGACTTTAGTTTCCAGGCTTCCCTTCTTTAATTCTTTTCCCTGTGCTGCTCAGAGTACATCTATTTGCTTCTTTCATCTATGCAATTTTCACATCACTGCCCAATGCAATATCATCTACAAGTTTGTTTCATATCTCATCACTCCTCCTTGATCATCACCATAAAGGATAAACCAATTTTCTGATAGCCTGTAAGGCAAAGGATTTCCATATAATACACCCAAATACTGGTCTCTGTTCACAGTCCTTAAGTTAGCTTTCAGACAGTGCACAATTACTACATATAAAACAGTACCAACTGGCTCACTCAGCACCTAAGTAGATGTTAATGGAAGATGGAAAGAGAGTTGCTATCCCATAACCTTGTAGTCTGGGCAGAATTAATCCCACAGAGATTATTTGCATTTCCAAGCAGTCTGGTCTACAGTCCTCTTTAAAGACATTGACAAGAGGCAGGCATTTCTGTGGTAAAATTCATCAGACTTATTTTAGATATCTGTTTTATGATGGGATGAAATTGATCCTTGTAAGTGTTGTTTTTTCTCTTCAGTGACTAGGTAGAAAGTGAACAGACAGTTTGGTTCTTGATATCTGTACCTTCTCCCTTCTAGATCTAAAGCTCTTTAGCTTAGAGAAAAATCATGTAAATACTTTTTTCAGGAACACTGGATGAAGAAATGAAAACAAAGTGTGATTCATCTGACCAAATTTGCCCAATGATGCAGACATCTACACCTCAAATAGCTATCAAAGATTCCTTTGCTGTCAGTGGAAGAAAGTGCATTCTCTGGATGCAGTGCCTGCCAACTCATCCTATAGTAAGCACTTAAACACGGATCATGTGAAGACGTTCCTTCTGATGTCGATGGGAAAAAAGGAATGGTAGCACAGATAACTTGTACTTCTCTTGTATTATACCTCTCTCCCAGTGTAAGCCAGGAGTTTCACACGGAGAAAGGAGCACAGGTCTAACAGCCATATTTACCCTTTGCTTTGCTGTGTCTGAGGCTGACAATCACACTATCACAATCGTAATGTGGAGGCATCTAAAGCTAGGACATATGAATCCTGCACTCTGGCTAACCTGG